GTGCTCTGAACGGATAATTGGAGGTGAGCTTCCCTCCCTCCAAGACATCTACAGGAAGCGCTGCCTGAGGAAAGCGGGGAGAATCATCAAGGACTCCAGTCACCCCAGCCATAAACTGTTCAGACTACTTCCATCAGGAAGGAGGTTCTGCAGCATCCGGTCCCGTACCAGCAGACTGAGAGACAGCTTTTTCCATCAGGCCATCAGACTGCTGAACACTTCATAGACACCTCACCTTCACTGCTGGAACTTTAACATTATGCACTCCATACTGTACAGTAATGCCACTGTTTTGCACGTCTCAACTCTGTATATTTTTATATATTTTATTTTATTATTTTTTACTATTTAATTTGTAAAAATGTGTATACACACACACACACACACACACACACACACGCGTAGGAAAACATTTAGTATACACATCCAGAAATGCATACACTATTATATATTGTACATATGTTTATTAGTTTCAGGTTGGCCATTCTTGTATTTTGCTCGTTTGTGTTGTTGTGTTTGCACATCTCTGTTGCTTGTGGGGCTCGCACACAAGAATTTCACTCGCATGTGCTGTGCCAGTGTGCCTGCACATGTGATGTGACAATAAAAGTGGTTTGATTTGATTTGATTTGAAAACCATACATTTCACACCTGAGCCTCAACTCTCGCGGCCCGGTACCAAACGACTCACGAACCGGTACCGGTCCGAGGCCCAGGGGCTGGGGACCGCTGATCTATAGCGCCTTTGGGTCAGGGAAGGTGTTATTTTTAAAATAATAATAATAATAATAATAATAATAGTAATAATATTATCATTATTACAGGTTTTAATAATTGTATCATCGGTGGTGAGTTGGATCATTTGGAGATTAAAGATGCAGAGCTGGCTTGGCAGAGGCCCCAGTCCATAAGATGTTTAGCTCCCACTGCCAGCACAACTTTGATGGGACTCTAACGGAGGCTCGGTACATTGAGCCTGAACATATTATTTGGATAAAAGTCTTGAATTTACATCACTTAAGATATTTGGTACAAACTGATTTGAAAAATGTGGCAGCAACAACCCAGGCCTTGAGGCCCGGTGTCCTGCAGGTTTTAGATCTCACCCTTGGTCTACACACCTGAATCAAAGTATTAGTTCATTACCAGGCCTCTGGAGAACTTCAAGACACGTTGAAGAGGTCATTTAGCCATTTAAATCAGCTGTGTTGGCTCAAGGACACATCTAAAACCTGCAGGACACTGGTCCTCGAGGCCTGGAGTTGCCCACCCCTGCCATAGAAGCATGTGTATAAGTCTCTAATGTTGTGAGCCCAGTGTGCATGAAGCTGCTCTGCAGACAAAAGACAAAATCAGCTGTAAATATCACAATAATCAATTCTGATCTTTTATTATTATCTAGTAGGCAAACAAGGAAACTCTGTAGTCCTGCTTGAAGCACTATAAAGAGTATTAAGTATTGCAGTATTACAGTATTAAGACAGTTTTCTAACACTGGAAATTTGTCTCGTACCTGATGTGTAGGAGGCAGACACAGATGACACCCAGGGAACTCTGGGCTTTGAGGAGTTTTGTTCCTTCTACAAGATGATGTCGACCCGCAGGGATCTGTACCTCCTCATGCTTAGCTACAGCAACCACAAGGACCATCTCAACACTGATGACCTGGCCCGCTTCCTGGAGACTGAGCAAAAGGTACAAACTGGTTCTAATGGGACTCAAAGTTACTTTGCTTATTGAAGCGGCTCTTTTTTTTAAATTTGTTTTGTTTTGTTTTAAATTATTTCTCGTGGTGTTCTTTACTGTGAAAACCCACAATGCTACTGATCTGCAGACTTAGAAAATAGAGTTGCACCAGTCGGTTTACTGCTGATCAGAGCCAAACTAAGATGTTGCTGATTGTGCTTTAAATCCCATATCCTGCACTACAGCAGGTGGGCACATCTCTGTGAGTCTAGCTACAAATTATCACCTCAAACGTCTACACACAATACACATTAATGACAAAGTGAGAAAAGTTTGCTTGAAATTATTGAAGATGTATTAAAATAAAAAGCAACAGTAAAGTGTGTACATAAGTATTCACAGCCTTTGCCATAACAGTCAAGACTGAGCTCAGGTTCATCCTGTTTCCACTGATCATCAGTCGGATGTTTCTAGAACGTGATTGGAGTCCAGCTGTAGTAATTTCAGTTAATCGAACACGATTTGGAAAAGGCCCACACCTCAAACCTGATGGAGCTGTTTTTCTTAGCTTTGACGTTATGGGTTGTTGTGCATAGAATTTCCGTCGATGCAGACTCCAAACGTAAAGGTCCCGACCAGATGGTGGAGTCGAATTCAAGACTTCCTTGCTGTGAGGCAACATTGCTTACCACTGTTACACCATGTACAACAGGAGTCTTGTACTTCAGTCCTCGAGAGCCGCTGTCCTGAAACTTTTCCATGTGTCCCTGTTGCAACACACCTACAATTAGTATGTCATTAGCAAGACTCTAGAACTTGACTGCATGCTGAGGAGGCAATTCAGCCATTTGATTCATGTTACAGCAGCTCATGAGGGAATGAATGTTAGGGGTTGAACCAAGTTCTATAGTTCCAGTTCTATACTCTTGCTAATGAGCTACTAATTGTATTCAGGTGTGCGCAACAGGGACACATGGAAAGGTTTCAGGACAGCGGCCCTCGAGGACTGGAGTTTAAGAGACCCGTGATCTAACAACATGGAGTCAGTTATCTTTCAGTGCAGCTGCCTGATAGTCTGAGAGAGTTCTTTTTTTATTTTTTTATTTTATTACACATCAACTTGAGCCAGCTGTGACCTGATTTGGGGCTATATAGATAACATTTGATTGGAGTGGAATAAACTGAAATGAAAGTAAGTGCATTCTGCATTTGTTCTAACTCTTTTTCTGTTGACATTTTTATTTTTATATGAAATGACATAAAAAAGCTGAACACAGCAATACCACAGCTAGTGTTTCTGAGCTGTGATTACAGGACAACATACAGAGGAAAACAGAATTATTAGTTCCTCTATGAACATATATACACACAAAAATGCTTGATGTCCTATTTAATGTAAGATTTTTCTTTACTTGTTGTTGTTTCCAATTTCCAATTTTTTCAGTTCAACTTTGTCTTATTTTTGGACTTTTGTTTAAAGACACCTTTAACACGCTAACAGTGTCAAGACATTGTAAAAATGTCAGGTCGAAATCTGATTGACCAATGAGGACAGGTGCCAAACAGCTGATTCCTGAAGCCAAGATGAAAATAAAAATGTGCAGCCAGATCACCAGTTGGATCAAAGAGGTATTTGTGACATGAATTTTTTACATTTTATAGATGGCCAAGGTGAGTAAAGACCACTGCCTGGACATCATCCGCAAATTTGAGCCGTGCTCTGAGAACCAAAAGCAAGATGTTTTGGGAATTGATGGTAAGTTCCTCTTGAATTTTTGAATACTCTTAGTTTTCTTCTAGTAAATGGCTTCCCTGTTGCATTATACTGCTTTTTGAAGTGCAGTCTTATAGTGAAGAACCAGGCTGTGGTTGATGTGTTAAAGACTTTCATCTTCAGATTCTAGCAGCTTCTTTTCATTCAGTGCTTACATCGCTTCTGGTTTTAGGCAGTGATGGGAATAATGGCGTTACAAGTAACGGCATTACTTTTTTCAGTAACGAGTAATCTAACTAATTACTATTTCTATCGTTACAATGCCTGTTACGTCCCCACGAAGGGGTCTAGGGGTGTGAGTGTGGGGACCAGTAACAAATGGGTCTATAAATAGAATGAAAAGAAAAACAGACAGAGGTGTTCTATAATAATATCGTTTTATTACAAACAATATGGCTTTATTACAAATAACCTTGACTTAAAGAGCCGGCAACACCGGCTTTAACAAATAAGGGAGGCACTTCCCACACTTCTTCCTTAACTCCTCACCAAGGGGAGACACTTCTGGGGCCCACAAGCCCGCCTACTCACTACTCGCAAGGAGGCTGTCTGTCCAAAACCTAGCGGAAAAACGTGTAGAGCCACAGAGGGAAAAAACCACCTCACTCACAGTTCATCCCCAGCTTATATAACCTCAGAGGCAGTGATGGAAATAACGCCGTTACTTGTAACGCCCCTTGTAACGCCGTTCCTTTTTTCAGTAACGAGTAATCTAACTATTACTATTTCTATCGTTACAATCCCGTTACCGTTACTAACAAGAAAATGCGGTGCGGTCGCGTTACTATTTTTTAACAAGCAGACATCGAAGCTGTCTTCAGCTTATCGCATCTTATATCAGTTGCACGGAAGTAGCTGTCTATGTAAGTAATCTGGGCACTACAGCTTTAAGTAGCTGCGCGCGCTCCCGCGGGCGGTATTCACTTTCTGGCCGACGATCACTTTTTGACACAACACCTGGAGCTAAGGGGGCAAAACAATCGCATGGGTGCTGCTGTTTGACTGAGGAACAATAAAGTAGTCGTGGTAAGCCAATTACACGACCATTTCAAGATGACAAAGCAACAAGGTGATATATACCAGTTTTTAAGTTGTGTTGATAGGCTACGTAAAACCAGAGTCATGCTAAACAATATACGTGTGTTTTTCCTCAATAGTTTCATCACGTTTACTGTCTAAGGACAGCGCTAGCAAGCACTCTCTGCTTATGACCAAAAAATTAAAAAAACAAACCAAAAAACAGCCCTTTCGTGTTGGTGGAAAAATGCCCCATGTTGACCAGTCAAAAATGATATGGTAACATGACATTTGGTTGTTGGTAGAGAGAGAGAGAGAGAGAGAGAGAGAGAGAGAGAGAGAGAGAGAGAGAG